TAAAGGTCTTTTCCAACCTCTATGTTTTACATAGGGCAGATTGTGGCTTCTCCCGAGTTGTCTGCAGTGTGTGAGGCAGGTTGTGCCCTGGCATGGAGGGGGAGAGGGGACATGATGGGTGACCCCTCGAAGGAGGCACGTGGAGGGGACACAGATGAGAGCGGGTCAGAAGCACCATGTGCTGCACAGTGCTGTGTTAATCTGCCCTTCATGGGGTCTGCTGTTGAGCTGAGCAGCGAGCACCGACACGTCAGTGCTTCCCAACGCATCTTGGCAGCCGGGATCGGTGCCTGGCTCTGGAGCGGCTCCGCTGCAGGCAGGAGTGTCAGGTCCTGGAGGGAAAACACGAGGCAGAAGTTGCTGGGTTTAGCTGCAGGGTGTGAAAGCACAGAGCTGCCGAGGAGAGAATCACCTGCCTGGAGTGAGCTGGGTTGTTCCCTCCCCTGTCTCAGCGGGACTGTGCTTCTGAGGTAGTTTATCCCTAAGCTGGAGGTGTTGGGCTGGATGTGCTCTCCGTCGGGAGAGGAGATAGGGATCCGTGCTGGATGCGCTGCCCTGTGGAGCAGTGATGGGCAGAGCAGCACTGGTATAACCTGCTTTGAAAGCTTGTGCAAAGTCAAGATGAGAGCTCAGCACTGCTCACGCTGCCCTGGTGTCTGCTCATGGCTGCTGAAACTTAACTATTTGCTCCCAGTGTCTGTCTTCTGACCAGATCTGTATTTCGGGTGTTCAGATCCATGTGCAGCATCAGCCTCCGCGCTCTTCCCTTTCGTTATGTCCACCAGAACTAACGGGAGGTTTTAAACCAGCTGCTTCCCGGGCAGTTTCTCCACCAAGACCTCTCAAGGCAGCTTCTTCCTCAAGGGCAGGTCCCTGCGATGCTTGGGGCTCCCCAGTGGCACCGTGTGGGGCTGGTGGGCACAGCCAGAACCTGCCTCGGTGCTCACACCGAGCTGCTGCAGCGCTCCCAGTGCCATGCAGTGCATGGGCTGTGGGCAGTGCAGAGCTGGAGGGTTGGAAACGATCCAGCTCCTCACCTGGAACCTGCTCAGACGGTCCAGACCCTGAGCCAGACCCCACTGCCACATCCCAGCCTCCTGCACCCTGTTTGGGCACTCTCTGTGCCCAGTTTGGGTTTGGTTTCAATTTCTCCAATGAAAATGAAATCAGAATCACCCCGTTTGGCTGCTTTACTATTGGGGGACCGAGCTTCTGTCCTTTGGGAGCAAAGGGGGGGTCTCTGCGCCCTGACCTTGGCGAAGGGCTGTGCTGTGCCTGTGCCAGGCTGCTGCGGCTGGAGAAGACGCGGAGCCGCCGGGGCTGGCATCAGCGTGTGTGTTGGGAAACTTGGGGGCTCTAATGAGCAGAGTTAATGCTGTGTCCTGCTGCTTTGGGCACGGCTCCATATCGATCCTCAGTCTATTTTCGCAGCCGCTTTCGGAGGTGGTGTTTACTTGTGTGTCTGGTACAGCCCCATCACAGCTGCATCCCCTTCCTCCCGGCACAGGAGCGCTTGTGCTTGCAGAGCACAGGCTCCGTGGG